TTAACTGTTTTCTCAGTGTTTCCTGGCGTGCCACAAGCGCTGTCTGGAAACTCTGGCGATCCAGTGTGGTCATAAGAAGCTGCAGGGCCGTCTGCAGCTGTTTGGCAGAGATTTCACTCAGGTAGCCAGCTGTGCCAGTGACGGTATTCCCTTCATCATCACCAAGTGCATCTCTGAGATCGAGAGACGGGCACTGAAGATGAAGGTGAGAAAAAGCACGTATGCTGTGTTTTGAAGGGGTGGTCGATTTCTGATTGTTTGCCTTTGAACCGTTGGGTTTAAATCTCCTCTCTCCTCTTTTCAGGGCATCTACAGGGTGAATGGAGTGAAGACCCGTGTGGAGAAACTGTGTCAGGCCTTTGAGAATGGAAAAGAGCTGGTCGAGTTGTCTCAGTGTTCGCCACATGACATAAGCAACGTGCTCAAGCTTTACCTCAGACAGGTAACTGAGGTTACACTGATGTGCAGCAGCTAGTAAAGACTGAACCTGAAGCTCGAGTCAATCATCGTATGTTTGGTGTTTTTCCTTTACCCCCAGCTGCCTGAGCCCATCATGCCTTTCCATCTGTACAACAAGCTGATGGGTTTGGCAAAGGAGAGTCTGCATAATGAAGGAGACACACCGGAGGGGGAGGACTCCGAGTCGAGCAGCACTCACCCGGCAGTGAGCAGGGGGCCAGAGCTGGTGGATCTGGGCCCAGACACGGACCCAGAGGTCCTGGTCCTGGTGGACAGTCTGAGGGAACTTTTAAAGGAGCTGCCCAAGCCCAACATCGCCACGCTGCGCTACATCGTTCGCCACCTTCGAAGGTGAGTTAGTCATATTAATTTTTAATTTTTTTTTTTAATAAAAAGCAAAGATTCTGTTAACCTCACCATCCTTTCTTGCTCCATCGTTCTCATTCCAGGATCGCAGAGCTGGAAGAGGATAACAAGATGAGCCCCAGCAACCTTGGCATCGTGTTTGGGCCCTCTCTGATGCGGCCCCGTCCAACCGGGGCTACGATATCCCTGTCCTCTTTGGTTGATTATCCCCATCAGGCTCGCATCGTGGAGGCCTTCATAGTCTTCTACTCTTCCATCTTCCAATCCAAAACTTCTCAGACCCACAAAACCTCCCGCG